ATGCTGGTATAAGATTTAGAATAGAATCATAGCATCATGGAATGGTCAGGTTTGGAAAGGACCTTAAAGCTCATCCAGCTCCAACCCCTGCCACGGGCAGGGACACCTTCCACTAGAGCAGGGTGCTCCAAGCCCCTGTGTCCAACCTGGCCTTGAACACTGCCAGGGATGGGGCAGCCACAGCTTCTCTGGGCACCCTGTGCCAGCACCTCAGCACCCTCACAGGGAAGAACTTCTGCCTTCTATCCAACCTAAATCTCCCCTGTTTAAGTTTGAACCCATTATTTGTGCTATCATCCCTCTGCCGTAGGGCTGGGACCCTTTTCTTCCTCACATGAACACCCAGTGGGAGACAGGAGAGGTAGTAAAGCAGGTCCTCCTCTGGAGCTGAGCTTTCCAGAGGGTGGAGGAAACCTGCAGGCAAACAGGGGTGACAGTGAGGTTTGATGGCTTCTTCTCATGGGGGACGTTAAAAATGATGGGTGTTTTCAGTGAGGAAGTGCCTGTGCTACTTGATTCTTGTTTAAAAAGAAGAGATGCCAGAAGGGACTCATTGCTCCAAACACAACTATGCAAGTCCCTTATAGCTGCCTCTGCTGCCAAAGAGAAAACCAGGCTCTGCTGGAGGGGCAATGCATCTCACCTGGACTTAGATGCCTGCAGAAAGCCAGATGAATCACACCTGAAAACGCTTGTTTCTCCCAATGACTCTGAGACAACCTGGTGTGACTCCCAGAGCTGTGCTTCTGCTCCACCGATATCCTTGGAGAGATGATGTGGACCCTCCCCACTGATACTTAGGTGCGTGATGCCAGATGCTCATTACCAACCCCACGCTTGAAACTGGGATTAGATTTGCACAAGATCTCCACATAGAATCATAGAATGGTTTGGGTTGCAAAGGGGTATAAGATCACCCAGTTCCAAGCCTCTGCTTTGAGTAGGGACACCTCACACTAGAGCATGCCACCCAAGGCTCCCTCCAATCTGGCCTTAAACACTGCCAGGGATGGAGCATTTACTCTTCTCTGGGCACCCTGTGCCAGTTCCTCATTACCCTCACAGTAAAGAACTTCTTCCTTATCTCCAACCTGAACTTCCCCTAAGTTTGAATCCATCACCCCTTGTCCTACCACTATAATCTTTGTTCACTTGTAGGCTGAGCTTGCATCCAGCTACAAGGAGGTGGGAGCAGAGAGTTTTGGAAATCATACAGCTCCAAACAGCCCTTTCCTTAAGGTGGGATGCTGCTGACTGGCTGCTGTCACATCATGTTTAATACCTGAGTGCACCTCAACCATAGCCTTAGCTCTGGGGACTAGGGGCAGTGGCAGTGCTCACTAGGGCTGGTTGGAGGGTGTGGGACCTGCTAAGCATAATGTGGGAGCAGTTTGCAACCTGCCAGATGACTAGGTTAGCTCGTATGCCAGATAACCTGGTCATGGCTTCTCATGCATGAAAGACAAGGAACATGACCCCTTTTAATGGACTACATGTTGCCTGGAGAGATCCATGAACCCAATGGGAACTATTCGGCTGGACTGGATAATCTGGACCTGATCCTGCATCTGGGTTGGGGCAACCCCCAGCACAACTATAGGCTGGGGAATAATGGATGGAGCAGCCCTGACAGAAGGACTTGGGGGTGTTGGGTGAGGAGAAGCTCCCCATGACCTGGCTTCAGTGAGCGCTTGAGCCCAGAACACCCCCGTGTGCTGGGCTGTACCCCTAGAGCGTGAGCAGCAGCTCAGGAAGGGGATCCTGCCCCTCTGTTGTGTGAAGGGAAGACCTTAGAGCAGCTCCAGTGCCTAAAGGGGCTGCAGGAAACCTGGAGAGGGGCTTGGGACAAGGGCCTGTAGGGACAGGCCAAGGGGAATGGCTTGAACCTGCCCGAGGGGAGACTGAGCTGAGCTCTTAGGCAGAAGCTCTTCCCTGTGAGGGTGCTGAGGCGCTGGCACAGGGTGCCCAGAGAAGCTGTGGCTGCCCCATCCCTGGCAGTGTTTAAGGCCAGGTTGGACACAGGGGCTTGGAGCACCCTGCTCTAGTGGAAGGGGTCCCTGCCTGTGGCAGGGGTTGGAACTGGACGAGTTCTGAGGTCCCTTCCAACCCAAACCATTCCATGATTCTATGATCTTCAAGGTCTGTCCCAACCTCAATAGTTCCATGATAAAGAGCACAGGACTGCTCTTTATCTGAAATGCTTAGTGCATTTGGGAACAAGGATCTGAAGCCCTTTGTACTGCAGGGTCATAACAAAAAGCTTCATGAAAATTTCCTTATCACTCCTTTTTCTTCCTGATGAGTATCAGAGTGCCAGCAGTTTGGAAAGGTCAATACCTTGTAATAGTCTAAGGTGTGTTCAAACTGACGCAATGCCCAAAGGCAAGAGCATGGAGCCGCAGAAGTGTTTGCACCCTCTTGACCCATATAACCATTGGCATAGGGCTGGCTGGTTCAAGCTTTGCCTCTCTGCAGCCTTAATGTCAATGCAGCTTTAAGTCAGCACACCCAAAGTCATCCCTTCTTTGGGAACCATCAGCCCCCTGGGCTCAGATGCCTCTGTGTGACACCTGCACATCCTGTCACCAAGTAGCCTGATGGGGTCACTGATATCATGAGTCCTTTGGCTCTCCTTGAAGGATTTCTTGTAGATGGAGCAGATCCATGGCTTCACTGGAGTGGGTTTATAGAATGAATGTGGCTCTATTATTCTAGTTGATAAATCACCTGCAAACAGCCTGTGATTTTTCTCTTTTATGTGTCTCAGTCCACGATTCTATGGTCAAAAGGTGGCTTTTGATGAACACCTGGACATGCTGGAGTGTTCCTGCACACAGAGCAGTAGCCTTGAGGTTAGGACACAGAGCTGTGCAGGGCAGAGCTTTGCTAAGTGCCAAACTCTTTTGAGTTTCACCGGGAATGAGATGTGTTGATACCAACATCTTCTGCACAAGGTTGGTAGGACACATCAAGGCAGTCATCACTGCATTAAGTGCAACGTGCTGGTCTCAGACACGTGATGGAGTTACTGCTATTTGCGATTGGCACTTGTTGTTCTTCAGCCTTCAGCAACTCCACAACAAGCAGTAACTAAATCTAAAGATTAGCAGTAACTAATCTTCTCATTCATCAGTTGGGCTGTGGTAACCCCCATGTCCTTGGGAATCTCAGCCACCCAAATGCTTTGGTGTGAATGGTGCCAGTTAGAATCACAGAATCATAGAAACAACTGGGCTGGAAAAGACCTTTAAGGTCATCAAGTCCAACCTTTACCCAGCAATCCAAGGCCACCATTAAACCATGTCACTGAGGGCCTCATATTCATGGTTTGTGAACACTTCCAGGGATGGTGATTCTTAAGAAAAACCCACGTTTGTAAATGAAAAGTCCACACAGCTCAGCTGATGGTACATGGCTCACTAAGCTGCTTTAACTCAGTTACTTTCCTCATCTTTTGCCATGAGTTCTCCTTTGAACCTATAACTGTTGGCTGGCCAGGACCATCTCACCTGTAGCAGCATCCTTGGAAGCTGAAGGGCTGCTTCCTTCTTGCTGCGGTTAATTGCTCCCTTCATTACCACCTTGCTGTGCATCTCCAGTATGTGTTGGCCAAGCTTTGCCTTTGCCAGTTGGGTCTTGCAGACATTGCTCTAAGATAAGTCAAATAAACCCCCCCACAGATGACAGCACACAGCCAGGTTCCCACAGCTCCACGGTTGCAGTTTCACACTGATTTGGGTTCTGCCTTTGAGTTTCTCCATCTGGATCTACACATTTTAAGGAAAATAAAGGGTGAAATGTGAATAATCGCAAATTATTACCCCAAAACTCCACGGCGGGGGGGGAAGGGGGGATTTTGTGGCCTACAACTACAAAACTTGCATTGCACTTGCAGTATACCAGGGACACGCTCCCTGGCCAATCACCTCAAGTGACATTAAACATAATGAGACACATGGCTGGTGACAGTGCAGCAGGAGGCTGAATGTCTGCAGGTCCCACTGTCACTGATGATTTCTGATGATTTCAATGATAGTGCATGAGGAGGAGACAAAAACTGCTCTGCAGCAGCAAGGGAGATGTTCTCCCCCTGGCACAGCTTTCCTATCTCCTATGGGACCTCAAGGAAGCTCTCTGCTAAATTCCTTGGAGGGATGAAGCCCTCAGATTGCTATTCTGAGGGGAAGAACACATTACTGTGCAAACCCAAAGGGATGGTGAAGTCCAGCACCCTGCTTTTGGAGGCAGCCTCAGCAGCAACCAGAGATGCTCCCAGGTTCAGGGTCTGCTGCATTAGGGCAACATTCCTGTGCCAAATCTCACAAGAAGACACAACTGAGTCTTTTGACCACACTTCCTACAGGAGATTGATTTTCTATCTGTCCTTTGGTTTCTTTCTTCTTCTTCTTTTCCTCCTTAAAATCAGCAAAACAACCCCCATCCTTTTCCTCCACTAGCAAAAGAGGAGGAAAATAATCATTATAAAAGGGGGAGAAAGAAATCTCTGCACACAGAAAAACGCTCCCTGTAATGTTTTGTGTTGAAAATGATGTCTCCAAAAATCCCCTACTTGGCTTTGATGCGGAATAAAAGAGACGTGAATGACACAGAACGGTTTTGTATTGTTCTGTACTCCACTTTTCACTTAAAAATGCAGCAGAGTGAGCAGTCTTTTCATTACCGAGTCTCAAACAGGGTCTGTTATCAGACATCCAGACCCATCTGCCTGGAAATGGTCCTGAGATGGCGCAGGAGGATGATGACAATGTCTTGCTGTGGGCAACTGCCCTGTGTCAGGTTCTTACGCCATCAGGATAGGTGAGAGAACAAGTCCAGCAGATCTCTTGTGTCAGCAATATCATAGGTCCAAGTTCAGGACCTTGGCATGGAGGGTGCTGGGAAGGAGCTGATGGATGAGTTCTGGAGCATGATTTAAACCTTCCCTGGGTGTTCTTTGCAGTGTCTGATAGACCCCTGCTCTCCTGTCATGAGCATAGGATCACAGAATGGTTTGGGTTGGAAAGGACCCTAAGCACATCCAGTTCCAACCCCTGCCATGGGCAGGGACACCTCACACTAGACCATGTCACTCAAGGCTCTGTCCAACCTGGCCTTGAACACTGCCAGGGATGGAGCATTCACCGCTTCTCTGGGCACCCTGTGCCAGTGCGTCAACACCCTCACAGTAAAGAGCTTCTTCCTTATCTCCAACCTGAACTTCCCCTGTTTCAGTCTGAACCCATCACCCCTTGTCCTATTGCTACAGTCCCTGATGAAGAGTCCCTCTCCAGCATCCCTGTAGCCCCCTTCAGACACTGGAAGCTGCTCTGAGGTGCTCTGTGGTCTCCACACAGCTTCTCTTCTCCAGGCTGAACAGCCCCAGTGCTCTCACCCTGTCTCCATACAGGAGGTGCTCCAGCCCCTGATCATCCTCGTAGCCTCCTCTGGACTTACTCCAACATCATGCTGCCAATGTCCTATAGGCTCACTGCACAGGTTTCTCAACACTATATGTTCTTTCACGGTATAGAGACCTGCGGTGGAAGAGATGGACTCAACATAGAATTCAGCCTCTGGTTGTAAAGAGTAATTGGTTTAGGAGCTGCTTCCAACATGGATGGTGCCATTCAGAGCTAAGGTTTTCTTTCAGAGCCAACTGCATCTTTCAGCTCAAAGGGTAATTCCAAATACTCTGACGATCCACACGAGTGAGCTGGTACCTACAGAGGGATGCTCTCCAGATCAATGGAGTCTCCACTCTGTTTTCTCTAAGCACTTGAGAAATGAAAGGCAGTTTTACATGACAAGTTCCAATGAGCCCATTCCTTCATAAAACCTTTTCCTTGGAGTGTCACATCAAGCTGCACTACTTGGTGTGTAGGACAGCCTGGACTCCAGTATCAGGATATGTCTGTCTTTGGTTAATGCTCAACTGAAACTGATAGCCTTGGTGATGGGCAGAGGGGTGTTCAGTCACCTGTAGAGCATTTGGGACCCTTGGCACACACTCTGTGTATAAAGCAAGGTGTGCAGTGTGATGCTGAGCAAAGGGAAGGACAGCATTTGCCCAACAGCTGAGAAGACTCCCTTTCATTGCTTGCATTCACATTGCCTCAGTACTTCTTCTGTGGTTGGGAGGTAGGACCTACTGTAGACCAGCCCTCCCATATCGCTCAGGACCTAGAGCTCTTTCCAGGGTGTCCTCATCCACTTTGCTGAATGACAGCGTGCCAGGTAGCCTCCTGATAGCTCATCAGTGATTGAGCAGAGTATATGGACTTGGTCAATGAACAAGTCCCGCATTCATCCCATAGATGTTTCTAGACATTTCTATTAGGAAATGACTAAAAATCCAGAGGTTTTCCAATTCAACAAGCTCAGTGGTAAGATGCTGACATGCTGGTGTCATCATTGCTGTGCTTGGTGGGAGGTTCAGGGCTTATGGGCTCAGTTTGGATACCATGCCCTGCCTGGGTGAAGCACTTTGCTGGCCCAGGGTTGCCTGACCATGAAGCAAGACAGGAATTCTGCCCTCATCCCTGTGTATTCCTCTGGGAGCTCCCGAAGTGTCTGGGTGGAGCCAGGGGACCATGTTGGGACCTATTGTAACTTGAGCAACAAGGATCCTGCCTGTGCAGCTGCCCTTGGAGAGAACAGACAGCTTGGCCAGAATAGTCCCATGCACGAGGAACATTATTGATGCAATGGAAAGTGCTGTTGGGATGTTAAACCTCCAACACTGAAGTGTTGAGCTGCACAGGCCTTTCTTGAGGGCATGAGGGATCTTGCCTGCACTGTGGTAGGTACTTTCCTTCCTTAGGCTACGTAACTTGTCCTGAGCAGCAGCCACTGTTGCTCCTTCCTTTACAGCAGTCACCACAGAGCCTATAGACCACAGACTAGAGCCTGTACAGCTAAACCTGCAAAAGGTTCACAGCAGAGCAATAGATGAGATGACTCCAGTCTAAACCCCACATTAGCAAGGCTGGGACTTGATCTCTTTTCCTAAGAATGCTCACTGAGCACAATCTATTGAAGGTTGGGAGAAGAAGCAGGCAGAGAGCAGCATATGAGCAAGCCAAGGGTCCAACGTTTAATGTTACTGCTGCTTAGGGGCAGAAATAGCTGCTATTAGGTTGCATTTAGTGATTTGGAGCCAGAAGGTTGAGGTCACGGCCACAGAACGTTGCCTGGTGTTTTGTGTCTGCTGCGATTCCAAGATCTCTCCCCAAGAGCCAGCCTGGGAATGGCATCCTCCTCCTCCTGCTCTGGGTTAGTTGGGATTCTACCTGCCTCTTTCAGGTGGGATTTCATTGCCTTTAATTTCACTTGGCATGAAAACGTGTGTGTGTGTATATGGGAAATGGGCAGAGGAACAAAGTTAGGTCTGAGATACAACACATGGGGCTCTGTTCAAAGCACCCTGGTCTGTTCACTTGTGTTTGCCTCCTGCTGGTTGCCCTCTGCAATGGAGATAATGGTGCAGGTAGGTTGACCATGATATGGCAGCATTCAAACATGGCCTAAGGAAGATAGGAGAGCAGAAGGTGTGAGTATGGGAATCTCAGACCTCTCCTGCTGGGCTATTACAGTGGAATTCGGCTCAGGAGAAGCTAGACAGCATGAGATGACCGCCCTGTTATGGGGAGATAGCATCTGCTTTATGGTGTGAGTTGTCTGACTCATTTCCAGACCTTTAGAGTGAGGTGATGCGTGCAAAGCCTGTGTCTTTCCCATGGGAAAACCCAACGTAGAGATATGTATGTTGGGTGAGCTCACTTATCTTCTGCCTCAGTTTCTCCATCTCGAAATAGAAGGAAGCATTTCCCATCTCATGAGAACTGATGCACCCTATTAGAGAGCTGGTGCTTCGAGAGCGAAAGCAAAGCAACGTCAGTAAATACCAGTGTTGAGTTGCCCTTTGCAATCACCCTGAAAGAGAATTCCCTACTATAGAGAGGGCCCAGGCAGCCCTGGAAAGGAGCAGCTTTAAAGGCCAGGGCTATGGGCTGGATCCAGATCAATATCCTTTTTCCTCAACCACCTGCTCTTGCTAGAAGGACATAAAGGCACCAGAAAGTTGTCTTCCTGCCTCGCTGGTTCTCATCCAGCACTGGGTTCAGAGCAGAGCAGAGCAAAAGAGGATGTAGCAAAACAAGGGCAATGGGAAGAGATCTGACCCCATGAGTCTCATGTCCTGCTCTGAGCAGTGATGAAGACGATGGCATCATTGGGACTCCATATCTCAGCACTGGGGGAAGGAACTTGCCCCTGGGGTAGATTTATTTCTGGTGTCATGTCTGACTTGAGAAAAACTGGGGAAAAACCACAAGCATCTGAGCTCATTTCATATGACAAGGAGGGAAAGTGGTGAAGAAATGAGTTTGGCTTCAGTGTTACTCTTGGCTTGAAGAGATGGGTTTGAGCAAGACCAGAGGAAGCCATGAGGATGAGCAGGGGCTAGAGCACCTCCTGTGTGGAGGCAGGCTGAGAACACTGGGGCTGTTTAGCCTGGAGAAGACCTGCGTGGAGACCTCACAGCAGCTTCCAGTGTCTAAAGGGGGCTACAAGGATGCTGGAGAGGGACTCTTCATCAGGGACTGTAGTGATAGGACAAGGGGTAATGGGTTCAAACTGAAACAGGGGAAGTTCAGGTTGGAGATAAGGAAGAAGTTCCTTACTGTGAGGGTGCTGAGGCACTGGCACAGGGTGCCCAGAGAAGTGATCAATGCTCCATCCCTGGCAGTGTTCAAGGCCAGGTTGGAGAGAGCCTTGAGTGTCATGGTCTAGTGTGAGTCATCTCTGCCCATGGCAGGGGTTGGAACTGGATGATCTTCAGGTCCTTTCCAACCCAAACCATTTTATGATTCTATCGTTTGTTCCTACAGCTGCAGTAACCACACTGCCTTGGACACTCTGGGATATGTTCAGCATTCGGCCAAGACTTCTTTGCTCCAAAAAAAAACAAAACAATTGGCTAGAAATGACGGTTTTCCCAGGAATGGGAAGTCCCAGGTACTCCTTTATCAATTTTTCATGGAAAGGTTTGAAACTGTCAAAACATCCCCTCTTCACACAAACTCTGCTTTCAGCCTTTTGTCTGCATCTCGCGGAAGGTGAAAGCTCTGCTGTTGAGAAAGAAGTCATAATTGCAACGTGTTTGCAAAGGGAGGAGAGGGAACATTTTGGTCTGGCCCCAGGTGAGTTGTGACTGGGGAGAAGAGGGGGATTTTCAGCTTCTATACAAATCTTCTTCCTGTCTATTGACTGGGGGAGAAGGAAATGAGAAGTAAAAGAATACATATATGTACGTGTGTGTATATATGTATATAAAAGCTTACCAACATAGGAAAATCATCCAGCTCCTACATGCTGATTTCCACATGCCTGAATCATGCTGCAAAAGCTCCTTCTGGATGTGCTTATCCCACCTCCCTATTCAGAAGTAATGACAGCAAAAATTCAAGGGTTTAAAGGATGCAAGGAAGTTTGATGGATCTCAGACCTTGGGATTCACCTCTACACAGCATTATGTTCTGGGAGGAAAGGAAAAACCTTTGTCACTGGGCAACATAGCAAAGGGGATACCTTCTTGATGTTCGTCTGTGCCTTGGTACTTGTAGCCTGATGGGGCTGTTGCTGGGACTCTTCATCAGGGACTGGAGTGATAGGACAAGAGGTGATGGGTTCAAACTGAAACAGGGAGATTTAGGTTGGAGATAAGGAAGAAGTTCTTTACTGTGAGGGTGCTGAGGTGCTGGCACAGGGTGCCCAGAGAAGCTGTGGCTGCCCCATCCCTGGCAGTGTTCAAGGCCAGGTTGGACACAGGGGCTTGGAGCACCCTGCTCTAGTGTGAGGTGTCCCTGCCCATGGAAGGGGTTGGAACTGGATGACCTTCAGCTCCTTTCCAACCCAAACCATTCTATGACTCTATGAATGCGCCCAGTCACCCATGACACCCATGCATGCCCTCAGCTCTGGACCCGTTACCTTCCCTCTTCCCCTCCCAGCTTCCTCCAAGCCCTGCTCCCATCTCAGGGCGAGGCAGAGCCATCGTTAGCATGAATCCAACTGCTTGAATTTCCCCCCTTTCCCTTCTAAGTCCTTTTTTTCTCACTTCCGCACAGCGTGCCGAGTGAATTTTAGCACCCGTAAACACTTTGTGC